CTCTGCCAGCCTGCGGCCGACCTCAGATCGCACGCCGCTGCCCGGCGACCCCTTCCACTGAGGCAGCACTTTGGGCAAGTGATCTGCACGGCCAGAAAGACGCATCTGGTCCACGGTAGCTTTTTCTTTCTTTTTTTATTTTTAAAGAATACAAAGAAAAAAAATCAAGTCCCGCACGACACAGGCTGTACTGTGAAACTTTGCAACAAACGCCTTTGCTTTCTTACTTCAGTATCCTTTCCCCCTTTTCTTTTAAGGAGCCCTGGGGGAAACCATGAAGTAACCCTGCGCATTCCAATGCCAGTTTGACAAAACAGAGTCCACGAAGTGATCACATTCAAAAAGAAAAATACCAGAAACGAGTGCACGTAACAATTCAAAGCTTCTCAAGAGGAAAAAAAAAAAAGACTTCGATGAGGACTAAGAAGAAAGTAACTTACCTGTTGGGACATTCTGAATAAGAGGTTGGTGTCAGCGTTCTGCCATGTCCCCATGAACCCCGGTTCAGCCGCAGTCGCTCGGGTTCCGAACTGCATGGAGCTGTCAGTGTAGGGGTCTCTCAGAGTCAAGTCTCTGGCCCTCTTCGGCTCTCTGTCTCTCTGTGTCTCTCTTTCTCTCACATCCACTTCTGCCTCTTCTGACTGAAAAGTGAAGGTGAATTTTTTGAGCCTCTTGGCAGCCAGGAGCAGGAGTGCAGTGCGGTGAAGAAGCTGGCTGCACTGTGCATTTCATCTGGGGAGGGGGGCTCCGGGGGAGGGGTCCGAGCTTCCCGCGCACCTTCTGCACGGGTACCCTATCATTTATGCATAGACTGTGACTCCCCAAGCTTGCCTGCACTCGGCGTAACAGCTGCCTGTCAGGTGTGCAGGCTGCACTGGAGACCCAACCATCAGCTTCAACCTCAGCCACTGCGTGGCATTGGACAGCAGAGCTGGGAGTCAACTGCACCCTTCCACGGTCAGGCACCAAATGACACCCTGCACCGACTCCCCCCAGACAGACACAGCCACACTTGGGCACACGCCCAGCGATGCTCCCCACTGCACTGCACAGGAGAGGGCCAGCCAGGGCCCTTCCCGGGAGCTTTCCCCAACAGTGCTTTCTGATGTCTCCTGCAGTATCTGACACCAGCCTCTAACATTTGTAAAACTGTGATACTCAATTCTTAAAAATTACACTGGAAGAAAGTACAATACGAGGCTGGAAAAGAACATAAAGTTGGCTCAGTTTTCTAAATGTTAGTTGCTGAAAGTCATACAGTATTTGCATGGCTAAACTAATTACAGGCTGTAAAAAAAAACATAGAGAAAATAATATACAAACTTGACCTTATACTCTCAGGAATAAATAAACCTAGCAGTTTTTAAAATGGAAGATGTGCCATAAACATTTTCAAAATAAATGATACAATTTAGTACCTCAGGCTATTAATTACTAAACCAAACATTAAG